AACATGTTTAAGAGACAAGATACCCATGATTGAGTGAAGCCTAGATGCTGTGATTGGCTGTAACCTAGAAACCAGTTAAGAAAAGCAGCAGTCTAACGTGTATGGTTTCGGCTTACCCATAAAAATCCAAGTGTGGGAGTACATCAGCCATTTTAGGCAAAAACACTCTAATGCAATGTATGTTCAGAACTCTTTCTTTCATTTCTGTGAATTCTTTTGTATTGTCCACTGTTGGTGAGGGGTTGCTGTGTTCCCTTGGGAGAGAAGCATTTCCTCATTTTCTCATGTTTCTTTTGTCTCTGCCCTAATTTTTGGTTATCTGATGCAGTATTCACTTCTTCCTATTTACTAGATAATATTCAGTAGTACTTGAGGAGGGAATATCACCCTTATATCTCAGATGTATTTCTGTTAGAGGGCTGTGTCTTTCAGATCAGAGCAGATAAAGTTTACATGAATAGCTTCAGGTGGTTGGCTCTGCTGTCAACCTTTCATCTTTTGATGAGCTGGGGATGAGCTAGGGAGATAAAACTTAGTGAAGAGGCATGCAGCACACAGGCTGCAGGGCTCCAAGTTTGAAAAATGAACCCAAGTGTAGGCCTGCACTCACAAGAGAGGCTTGCTGATATCAGAGCCAAAGTCTCCCAGTGGATGAGTGGGGCCCAGGAACAGGCAGCAGGATAATGCAGCCAATGTGTCACAAGTTCAAAAGGCGAAATGCTATTTTCATCCACTTTGAATCAAATGACAGGTCCTCATTGTTCCTTAGGGCTGAGTATTATCCCACAGTATGTATGTACCACATGTTTTCAATCCAGTCATCAGTTCTAAGACTGGTTTTTAGCAATTGTGAATAATGCTGCAATAAACACGGATGTTCAAAATACTCTGTTGGAAAAAACTTCTTAAACACTAGGACTTTCAATATTGAAGACTCCCCTGAGGAGACTAGAGCTCTGATATAATAACAAACTCTATCCCAGCGGCAACCAACTATGGTGATACTGCTCTCTGAGAAAGATTTGGCAATGTCTAGAGACAACTCATACAAGTTATTTATTGTGACTCTGTGTATTTGAGCGCTGGAATGTTGGGAAGAAGTTCTACCTTTTAATGAGTAGAGACCAGGGATTCTGCTAAACATCCTATAATGCACAGAATAGGTCTCCATAGCAGAATCTGATCTAAAATGTCAGTTATGTCATTCTAATTAGAAACCCCATTTTAGGAGCCAACTGTTGGCATAATGGCTATGTCACTAAACTCCCATGTAGTCCACTGCAGTTGGAAACCTGGACCTGGTGGCTTAAACTCATGCCAAGTGCATGTCCTTACATGCCCAAGATCCCGAGAGGAGAATGGATAAGAGGAGAATGGAGGAGAAGGAATTGTGGCATGGCCACCCCCCTCAGGGAGTGATTTCTCACTTTCTGTCTCTCTGTCTCTGTCTTTCTGGCAATCACACACGCCCTATAGAAAAAAGAAACAAAAAACAAAAAACAAAAACATTCTCATTGGAGGAACAAAGCTGAAATATTTTATTTACGTGACTTTTAAAATTTTAGAATCTTAAAATTCTAATAGGGGATATGCAAAATATTTGTATCATAAGCAAATGATGGACTTGATTCTTTCAGCCAGTGATTATACATGTACAATGTTGTGACCACAATTAACAATACTATATGATATACTTAAAATTTGCTAAGAAGGTAGAACTTAAGGGGAAATGAAATAATTAAAGAAAAAAAGGGAAGAAAGAAGAAAGATAGTAACTATGGAGGGGTGATGAATATGTTAGTTATCTTGACCCCATTGTATACATCAAATCATGAAGTCAGATAGTTTAAATGTATACAGTTGTGATCGTCAATTATATATCAAAGTTAAAAAAATAGAATAAGTATCTCTGCTAGGGATACTGGACTCTTTAATTTATTTATTAATTTTTTTTTAGATTTTAGCCATGAGGCATATGTGCACATCAGTAAAAAAGAGACAGAGAGAGGTAAACAGAGAAATCACCTCCCAGAGGAATGACTACTTCACAATCTCTTCTTCTTCACTCTCCTCCTGGGATTTTGGCCCTCACACATACAGGCCTGGTGTAATTTTCAAGCTACAAGGTCACAGACTTTAACTGCAGTCAGCTATGTGGGAATCCGGTGCCTTAAGCACCACCTCATCTGCAGGCCCTAGATGACTCTTAAAATATTTAACAAATGGCCCTTGACATTAAAGATTTTTTTTTTCTGGGACCATTAATGGAAATACATCCTAAGGACTACATCTTTGCAGTTTTTTGTTTTGTTTTGTTTTGGTATTCTAGTCATTTTTAAAATTTAGCTTTTTTATTTTTAATTTCATTTTATTTTATACAGTCAATCACATTATTTAGCTTACAAAGTGAATATTTCAACATGTGAACATTTATCCCCAGTCCAGTTGACTAAACTACAACATATCTTTAACAGAAATTGGCACATTTCTTTGTCCCATTTATGTTTTTCCTTCCCATTTTTCTTCTAATTGTTTTTCCTCAAACCCTATTCCTTCACACATACACTCTGTCTGTTTTGTTTTTGGTTTTTGTTTAGTTTTAGTCATCTTTGAATTCAACAGTAATGTTCTGAGATTGAGAGCTTATCTTCTGTTTGTATTTGAGGGATCTGAAGTTGAGTTTAAATGTCATACTCAAAGTCCTCTGTCAGAGTCAGAATCTGGTCATGGGTGTTTAATTGTATAGCAAGTGTTCTTAATTTGCTAAAGCAACAGAGATCTATGTTTCATTTTGGGAATTACTCATAAAAATAAAGACAGTAACAGCAAATGGAATGTTAAAGAGCAAGAAAATAAATGAAATTATAGCATAGATACAAAGGTTTTTCAATGATGTAGTATGTTGAGCTTGGAAATGGTCTCTTATAGATGTCAGGATCTAGTCTCTGGAATTTGTAATTGATACTTTATTTGGGAAAAGGTTGTTAGCAGATGTGATGAAGTGAAGAATATTGACATGAGAAGACTATTTTAAATTATGTGGGTGGGTTTTATATGCCATCACAAGTGTCCATATAAAAGAGACTTAGAAAGTTATTTTGCACACACACACATACACACAAACATGAGAAAGTGCAATAAATATTTAAAGAGAGAACAGGGTGGTTAAGGCACTGGACACTCCCACATGACCGACCAGGGTTCGAGTCCTGAATCTGGTGGCTTGCTTTCTCACTTCCTCTCTCTCTCTCTCTCACCCTCTTTCTCTCTCTGGTCAAATCAAAAAAATAAATGAAGGAATAAATATAAAATAAAATTAATAATTATTTTTAAAAAGTACTGAAAAAGAAAAATGAACAAAATCCAAGATTACTAAAACATTATACGCTGAAATACACATAAGCATATCGAAAACTCACTCCAAATTTTCAGCAAATCGCATAGGCTCTAAAACAAATATATATATATTGTTTTCCATAGTTAAAATGAAGTCAAGTTAATAAGATGGGTACATGATTTAAGAATAATGGAAAAACAGATCTTTATGTGTACTTTGTAGAAAATATTTGGTCATATGTATAACCAGGAGATTCATTCTAATTATACATTCCAGAAACCCCTTCAAAACAATTGGAAATTGCAGAAGAGCAGCAAAAATAGAACATTAATTTAGATGCCCTATAGCACATTATTTTTTAAAAATGAAACTTCTGGGTAAAAAATTTGTCTCATAAGCTATACTGCATATTCCTAAAAATGCCAACATTCACAAAACAATCTCACTCTTAAATAAAATTGTGCTAATTGGCCACAGTACATTCAAAATAATGTTTATATATACATGTTTATAATAGTAGAGGTGATCAATGACATAGCAAAAACAACTCTAAATGGTTATATTATATGGAATTCATAACACATTAAAGAAAAATATTCACATTAAAATAAAAAAGATCGAGTTTAAGAAGTATATAAAAAATCATTTAAACTATCCAATAATGGGTATATAGGATAACTTAATGAATAGTTATGACCGACCAGGGTTCGAGTCCTGAATCTGGTGGCTTGCTTTCTCACTTCCTCTCTCTCTCTCTCTCACCCTCTTTCTCTCTCTGGTCAAATCAAAAAAATAAATGAAGGAATAAATATAAAATAAAATTAATAATTATTTTTAAAAAGTACTGAAAAAGAAAAATGAACAAAATCCAAGATTACTAAAACATTATACGCTGAAATACACATAAGCATATCGAAAACTCACTCCAAATTTTCAGCAAATCGCATAGGCTCTAAAACAAATATATATATATTGTTTTCCATAGTTAAAATGAAGTCAAGTTAATAAGATGGGTACATGATTTAAGAATAATGGAAAAACAGATCTTTATGTGTACTTTGTAGAAAATATTTGGTCATATGTATAACCAGGAGATTCATTCTAATTATACATTCCAGAAACCCCTTCAAAACAATTGGAAATTGCAGAAGAGCAGCAAAAATAGAACATTAATTTAGATGCCCTATAGCACATTATTTTTTAAAAATGAAACTTCTGGGTAAAAAATTTGTCTCATAAGCTATACTGCATATTCCTAAAAATGCCAACATTCACAAAACAATCTCACTCTTAAATAAAATTGTGCTAATTGGCCACAGTACATTCAAAATAATGTTTATATATACATGTTTATAATAGTAGAGGTGATCAATGACATAGCAAAAACAACTCTAAATGGTTATATTATATGGAATTCATAACACATTAAAGAAAAATATTCACATTAAAATAAAAAAGATCGAGTTTAAGAAGTATATAAAAAATCATTTAAACTATCCAATAATGGGTATATAGGATAACTTAATGAATAGTTAACCAGACAATTAATAAAAGTATACATAATCCTCTAGCTCCTAAATTATTTCACTATTTGATATTTTATTAACATACTCACACAACCCCTTTTAAAATCCATTTGCAATGCTGAGTTCACCTAAGAAAATTACTTCTCAGAAATTAGTTTGGATTCCATAACTTTCTTGAGAGCTTCTTTCACATCCTTGTTCCTCAGACTATAAATTAGGGGATTCAACATGGGAATCACTACCGTGTAGAATACTGAACTCACTTTGTCAGCATCCCGACTGTTACCCAAACTGGATCTACAGTAAGTGAAAAGGATTGTGCCATGGAAGATAATAATGGCCGTGAGATGAGAGGCACAGGTAGATAAGGCTCTGTGCCTTCCCTCTGCTGTGCGCATCCTTAGGATGGTGATGAGAATAACTAAGTAAGAGATGAAGATTATCATAATGGTGACAACCTCATTGATGGTGGGCACAATAAGTGCCATGAGTTCATTAATAGATATATCAGAGCAGGCAAGAGAAAATACAGGTGGCAGATCACAGAAGAAGTGGTCAACCACGTTTGATTTATAGGATGAGATCTCAAGAGCTAAACATAAATGAATCAGAGAACACACGGATCCGCAGAGGTAGCAGCAAGAAACCAACTCCATACGGAGTTTCTGGGACATGATGACCATGTAGAGCAGTGGATTACAGATGGCCACAAAGCGGTCATAGGCCATCACAGCCAGCAGGATGACCTCAGTGACCGCACATGTGCAAAACAAGTAGAACTGCAGCATGCATCCCAGGAAGGAGATAGCTTTGTCTTTGGTTAAGATATTAGCCAGCATCTTTGGCACAATGACCGAGGAGTAGCAGAAATCCACGAAGGACAAATGGCTGAGGAAAAAGTACATGGGAGTGTGGAGTCGAGAGCTGACCTGAATCAGTGCAATCATGCCCAGATTGGCCAAAACTGTGACTACATAGATGAGAAGGAACAGCAAAAAAAGGAAGATTCTCAGCTCAGGGACATCTGATAATCCAAGGAGAATGAATTCTGTCACAGTGGTGCAGTTCTTTTCCACCATTTCCACAGTAAGTCAGTTGGAAGAAAAAAAAAATGTTGTTTCTTTTGGGAAGAGAATAACAAATTTTAAATTAACTTTAGAAAAATATCACATGGATATCAACATGTATTTATGAGCTGTAACAAAAATGCATCGATAAGTCAAAATGTTTAATATTTCAGTGAATGCTAGCAATAGAAATTAATTAAAGCATCACCAGTAAGTTCACATGATTAATGATGAACCTTTATACATCAAAATATACTCAGACGATCCATTAAATTAGGTGTTTCCATGGACTTTGAAGTAGATTCTATAGCACACTTTAAAGCCATATAGAATGCTACATGGTGATGCGGTGGTCACTCATTTGGACGTACGTGGTTATGTGCCATGTTTACATCCAGGGCTTCTCTATACATGCTGGGCACACATGTGCCTGTGATCTGGAAGACAGGTTGGGGATGGATTGTGGCATGAAGCGCCTGTTGAGAGTAACCCTTTCTTACTCTTTCACTCTCAAAATATATATAAAATTAAGATAATTAAAAAGTCTTATAGAAATAAACTACTGTTTTCCCCAGAATTTAATAACTTTTTTCTAGGTAGAACAATGGCTGCTGTGATCTTATATAATGCACATTTTTCTTTAGCTCATTTTTTCTTTGTTTTTTTTGGAGAGATTTTTGCTATAGGGCGTGTGCGCTCGCCAGACAGACAGAGAGAGACATAGAGACAGAAAGCGAGAAATCACCCCCCAGGGGGGATGGTCACGCTGCAATCCCTTCTCCTCCATTCTCCTCTCGGGATCTTGGGCATGCACACACATGTGCCCGGCGTGAATTTTAAGCCACCGGGTCTGGGACACGAACCACGGTCGACTATGTGGGAGTCCAGCAGCATAGCCATTACGCTAACTGCTGGTTCCCAGCTCAATTTTTCATTAACTTACATTTGCACCAAGTGAAATCCTATACAATTACGTTGATGGAAGTATGATAAATTTCTTTGGGATTAGTAGCTCAAGAAGATCCTGTAAGTTTAAAATTTTGCAGAACAGAAAAAAAAAGAATTAATATGTACCCTTTAAACCATAACAAATTTTTCTGATAGGATTAACAAAATGATTTAATTAATTCAATGATTAAGATCTATGTTAATAATGACTCAAAAATGAATTCTTATATAAACTTTTCTAGAAAGTAATTAGGGTATTAATTCTGAAGACTTTGTTTTGTTTTGTTTTGTTCACATTTATCTCTATGAGCAGGAGATAGAAGATGGACAGAAAGATGGACGGACAGCACCTCCAACAGGGCTCGGATGCCACCATCCACTCACAACCTCAGCCAGCCCTGTATCACCAGCATTCATGTGTCTGGAACACTCAGAAACGGCTTTGGACACAAAGCAGAATCTTCCTCTGTGGGTCAGCCTCATAGAGTGTTGTGTTTACCACTGGGCCACTGTCTAGCCCTTGTGCTGAAGTCTTAATTTAGACCATAATAAAAGCTAAATGATCCCCTCGTTTATGAAAAAGTTAATCCTGTGTAAATTGTCATGAGAAATACTTAATTACATTGAAAGGTGGTAAAACATAATGTCAAAAGCTACCCTGGTGATTACAGAGCTGTATCTCACATGGCCACCTGCACAATTTACATCCTGGTCCTGCCCAGAACATGTGCATGTGTGCCAAAAAAAATCCCAACAATATGGAAAACAGAGGAGAAGGGATTGCATGGTGAGTACACGCCATTGGAGGGTACTTACCTTTCTCTCTCTGGTAAGTGCACACGCTCTGTAGCAAATTTAAAAAAAGTAATTACATTTTAAAGATAGTTAATTAAAGAAGAAAAAATGATATCTAAAAGCACATTTGTAATATATACATATAGATAGATGATAGATAGATGTAGGTGAAGATATCTATGTAGAACTATAAGAAAAGAAATATCACACTATCAGTCCAGTTTGATTATATCCCTAAAATAGAATATTTTATTGATATTAAAAAAAGGAGTAAGTGAAAAAGTGAAACTTTTTGAGTTTTCTCCATAAGTTGGCTGGGGAAGTAGTTAAGTTGTGTGTTCCATTTAAGTAGGAAGAATCACTTAGACCTTTAACTTAAAAGGCATGTGGACTTTTACTTTTGCCTTCTTCCCTTTCTTTCTACCCTGCCTCTTTATTTTCCTTTCATGAGAGAAACAGAGACAAACACCACAATGGGGGCCTAATGCTGGCCTCCACCTCCAGTCTCAGTCATCCTAGATCACGGGTATGTGAGCTCATGCCTGGCATGCCGAGAGAAGGTCCAGGATTCAAACCCAGCACCTTTCTTACGTGGATCCAGCTGTGCTATCACTGTGAACCACCTGGCCCAGACTTCTTCCTTGACTACAGAGACCGTACATACACGCCTACAGGGACACATTGCAATAGAAATGGGGTAAAGAGAATCTAGATGAGAAACAGCCTGGTATCCTTTCAATCTCTTGTGAGTTTAAAGAATTGGAAACAAATCATGGTTGACTCTGAAGTCATGGTATTCTCATCCATCTGAGGGGAAAAAAAAGCATTTGCTAACTTTGGACTTAAAAATTTAGGAAAAATAATTCAGGAAAATAATTCCACAATCTTCTATGCTGATAATAGGTAACTAGTTTATTGTAAATCAAAAGCATTGGGTAAATATATAACATATATATTATATGCACATGTATTTATATAATATATATTATACACACACACGTATAAAATATTTCCTGTGCACAGTTTCTGTGTTCTGACTCCATATGACTACATTGCAGACACATTCATTTCACACTCAGAATTAGGCTGACAATTAGTGAATTCCTCTGCAGTCTTAAGTTCTAGATTTTATGCAGGCTAACTGGGGCAGGGAAGAAGAGCGACAGAGAAGCACGAAAGAAAAGGTCTACCATATTGTTAACTATATTCTTTTTTACACTTTGAAATTTGATGTTACAAATTTATTCTAAATTATTCTAATCACTCAGCTGTTTCTCATAAATAAAAGATAACAGACTTTTGAAGAGCATGCATAGGATAAGGATTGTAATGAGTACTCTTTAGTTAGAAGAGAGATGAGTTAGACATACCTTTAGAATAAGTTTGTGTTCAGAAAATATATTCATTTCTATTTTCAAGTTACTGGTTTCTTCTAATTAACAAACCTGGAGAACATACGTTTCTTTTCAGATGCTAAAAATATCAAACGTGTGTAGTGCACAGAGACTTATATTGTAATTAAACTCCTGGGAAATGGGTCCTTTATGTGCCCCAAACAATTATGTGATCTCTATAAGTTTACCAAAATAAATACAAACTAACATCATCTTTGCCATAAGACATATAAATTAATCTCTATGGAGCATCATTAGGAAATTTAAAATACTACTACTCTAATTTGGGACACACTATTTATAATCACCAGGGATCCTTTTAGACTAGTGCAAAAAATTTACATGGCTATATGGGGGGAAAAATAAGGCCCAGCCAGAGCTGGTGCCACATTTTCCCTAACACATATCCAATGCCAAGTGTCATAGAATGGGAGTCTACTAACGGTGTGCACTGATTGTGCTTTTCTGACTCGTAATATCAATCTAGGCCTTAGTCTTGTCTTTGAGTATCACTGCATCCACACAAAGTACCTTAATATTGAACGTGCTCAAAAAATAGTTTGAAGTAAAATTGTTACATTCCCAATGGAATTTTGTTGGTATAATTTTTTAACAATATGCTCTCTAGTAATTTTAGTTTCTACAAGGCAAATATTCCTCAGTATTATGTTGCAATGTATGTATTTCTCCTCTATTTCCAAACAATTTCTGTCAATTTTATTGTTTTTTTTCATAGAAAACACTGATGTTTTCATTGACTTTCATTAATGTTTCTCAGTTTTTGTTTGTTTGTTTTTAATTTGCTATAGGGCATATGGTTTTGCCAGTGAGATGAAGGGAGAGGCAGAAAGAGGGAAAGTGAGAAAACACCTCCAGAAGGGTGGCCATGCCACAGTCCCTTTTCCACCACTCTCCTCTTGGGATTTTGGGTATGCATGATACATGCCCGATATGTTTTTTTAAGTTGTAGGACTCAAATCATGCAGTTGTTCATAGAAGATCCAGCCACCTGAACCATTATACCACCCAGCTGGCCCATTCTTTTCAGTTTTCTATTTTATTTCTTACGTGGATCCAGCTGTGCTATCACTGTGAACCACCTGGCCCAGACTTCTTCCTTGACTACAGAGACCGTACATACACGCCTACAGGGACACATTGCAATAGAAATGGGGTAAAGAGAATCTAGATGAGAAACAGCCTGGTATCTTTTCAATCTCTTGTGAGTTTAAAGAATTGGAAACAAATCATGGTTGACTCTGAAGTCATGGTATTCTCATCCATCTGAGGGGAAAAAGAAGCATTTGCTAACTTTGGACTTAAAAATTCAGGAAAATAATTCCACAATCTTCTATGCTGATAATAGGTAACTAGTTTATTGTAAATCAAAAGCATTGGGTAAATATATAACATATATATTATATGCACATGTATTTATATAATATATATTATACACACACACACACACGTATAAAATATTTCCTGCTCACAGTTTCTGTGTTCTGACTCCATACGACTACATTGCAGACACATTCATTTCACACTCAGAATTAGGCTGACAATTAGTGAATTCCTCTGCAGTCTTAAGTTCTAGATTTTATGCAGGCTAACTGGGGCAGGGAAGAAGAGCGACAGAGAAGCACGAAAGAAAAGGTCTACCATATTGTTAACTATATTCTTTTTTACACTTTGAAATTTGATGTTACAAATTTACTCTAAATTATTCTAATCACTCAGCTGTTTCTCATAAATAAAAGATAACAGACTTTTGAAGAGCATGCATAGGATAAGGATTGTAATGAGTACTCTTTAGTTAGAAGAGAGATGAGTTAGACATACCTTTAGAATAAGTTTGTGTTCAGAAAATATATTCAT